TGTATGAGTGTGTATATATGTGTGTGCATGTGCCTATGTAAGTGTGTGTGTGTGTGTGCATTTGAGAGTGTATGTGTGTGTTTATGCGTGTGTCCATGTGTGTTTGTGCAGGTGTAAGTGTGTGTGAGAGTGCACAGGTGTGTGTGTGTTTGACATTGTATGAGTGTGTATATATGTGTGTGCATGTGCCTATGCAAGTGTGTGTGTGTGTGCATTTGAGAGTGTATGTGTGTGTTTATGCGTGTGTCCATGTGTGTTTGTGCAGGTGTGCGTGTGTGTGAGAGTGCACAGGTGTGCGTGTGTGTGTTTGTGTATGTATGTGCATGTGGGTAGTGTGTGGGTGCATATGTGAGTGTGTTTGGGAGTAAAAAGGATGTGCAGGTGTGTGTGTGCGCATATGTGAGTGTGTTTCTGAGTGTAAAGGTGTGTATGTGTGTGTATGCGCCTGTGTCTGTGCATATGTGTGTGCATGTGCACGTGCACGCATGTGAGTGTGTTTTAAGAGTGTAAGGGTGTGTATGTGTGTCTGTGTGTGCATGTTTAAGAGTGTGTCTGAATGTGTGTGCGTGTGTCTGTCTGTGTGTGCGCACCTAAGTGTGTGTGTGTGTGTGCGTGCATGCATGCATACATACATGTGCATGTGTGCCTGTTTGTGTGTGTGTGAGCATGTGTGTACATGTGCATACAGATGTGTGTGTGTAGCTGTGTGAACATATATAAGTGCATGTGTGTGCATGTGCACGTGCACGCATGTGAGTGTGTTTAAGAGTGTAAGGGTGTGTATGTGTGTTTGTGTGTGCATGTTTAAGAGTGTGTCTGAATGTGTGTGCGTGTGTCTGTCTGTGTGTGCGCACCTAAGTGTGTGTGTGTGTGTGCGTGCATGCATGCATACATACATGTGCATGTGTGCGTGTTTGTGTGTGTGTGAGCATGTATGTACATACAGGTGTGTGTGTGTAGCTGTGTGTACATATATAAGTGCATGTGTGTGCATGTGCACGAGTGTGTTTAAGAGTGTAAGGGTGTATATGTGTGTGCGCGTGTCTGTAATTGTGTCTCAGAGTATAAAGGTGTGTGTGTGTTTGTTTGAGAGTGTGAGGATGTGTGTGTGCGTCATGTGTGATCACGTGTTGTTGGTGTCTCTTGCAGCCGGCTGTGATCATGTTGTGAACAGTGTGAGTGGGACCATCACCAGCCCCAACTGGCCAGATAAATACCCCAGTAAGAAGGCCTGCACCTGGGCTCTCTCCACCACGCCAGGACACCGCATCAAAATAGTACGTAGTGTTCAGAGCAGAGTCTGCTTCCATATTCATCACAGTACAGCCTGTTATTACACTGTAGAGCCAGCACGACCTTCAGCTGACCCTCAACAGCTTTAGGTAGTGCTCCAGACCAGCTGAGTGGACACACTGCGTGCATTACAGCAACACTGAACACAGATAAATAAAGGAAAGGATGACCTTTGGAAGGAAAAGAGACCATCAGAGTTTCATCCATCTGTCCAATTTTCTGTTCATTTCTCCACTCATTCCATTCATCTGTCCATCCTTAATTCATCCATATATGTCCACTTTACTTCAACCTTTCAGTTTATCTCTCCATTTATCTTTCTATCTATCCATCATTTGTTTGTCCATCAATTCATTCATCCATCCCCCCATCATCCATCTTTCTGTTGTTACATCCATCCGTCCATCCATCCATCCATCCATCCATCCATCCATCCGTGTGTCCGTCCGTCCATCCATCCGTCCGTCGATTCGTCTATCCATCCATAAATCCATCCATCCATCATCCATCTTTTAGTTCTATCCATCCATCTGTCCGTCCGTCCATCAATCCATCTATTTGTCCATCCATCCATCCATCCATCATCTATCTTTCTGTTGTTCTATCCATCCGTCCATCCATCCATCCATCCATCCGTCAATCCATCCATCCATCCATCATCATCTTTCTGTTGTTCCTTCCATCCATCCATCCATCCATCCGTGCATTCATCCATCATCCATCTTTCTGTTGTTCCATCCATATATCCATCCATCCATCCCTCCATCATCTATCTTTCTGTTGTTCTATCCATCCATCTGTCCATCTATCCGTCCATCCATCCATCCATCCATCCATCCATCCATCATCATCTTTCTGTTGTTACTTCCATCCATCCATCCATCATCCATCTTTCTGTTGTTCCATCCATATATCCATCCATCCATTTATCCATCCGTGCATCCATCCATCCATCCATCCATCCATCCATCCATCTATCCATCTTTCTGTTGTTCCATCATCCATCCATCCATTCATCCCTCATTTTGTCTATCCATCAATTTGTCTGTCTATCTTTCCATCCTTCATTATTTTTCTGCTCAGTCGTCATCCTTTTACCCATCCATTCCCACCCTCATCTATCTAAATATCAATTTAATTTTGAATTTTCTTTTCATGTTTGTTTATTCATCCATCAATTTATTTATTCATCTGTGCGTTCATTTGTCCATTTTTCTATGTATTTATAAGTGCATGCATCCATCCATCGGTCCGTGTGTTCATCCATCCATCCATCCATTCATCCATTTATCCATCCATCTGTCCATCCATCCATCAATTCATCCATCCATGTTTTCTTGTATTTATCAGTGCAGCCATCATCCATCCATCCATCCATCCATTCATCCATTTTTCTATGTATTTTTCATTGCAGCCATCTATCCATCCAACCAACCATCCATCCATCTTTCCAGATATTTTTTAGTACAGCCACTCATCCATCCATGTTCCAACCTTCCATCCATCCATCCATCTATCTGTTTGTCCACCCATCCATCCATTCGTCTGTCTGTTCGTCCATTTGTCCATCCATCCATCCATCTGTCCATCCATCCATCAATTCATCCATCCATGTTTTCTTGTATTTATCAATGCAGGCATCATCCATCCATCCATTCATCCATCCATCTATTCTTCCATTCATCCATCCATCTATTCTTCCATTCATTCATTTTTCTATATAATTTTTCTTGCAGCCCATCTATACATCCATCCATCCATCCTTCCAGATATTTTTTAGTCCAGCCTTTCATCCATCCCTCTTCCATCCTTCAGATCCATGCATCCATCCATCGGTCCGTGTGTTCATCCATCCATCCATCCATTCATCCATTTATCCATCCATCTGTCCATCCATCCATCAATTCATCCATCCATGTTTTCTTGTATTTATCAATGCAGGCATCATCCATCCATCCATTCATCCATCCATCTATTCTTCCATTCATTCATTTTTCTATATATTTTTCATTGCAGCCATCTATCCATCCATCCATCCATCTTTCCAGATATTTTTTAGTCCCAGCCATTCATCCATCCCTCTTCCATCCTTCAGTCCATCCATCCATCCATCCATCCGTCTGTTTATTCATCCATCCATCCATCCATCCATCCATCCATCTGTTTTTTTCATCCATCCATCCATCTGTCTGTTTGTCACTTTGTCTATGCAGCCGTCCGTCCATCCGTCCAGCCATCCATCCATCCTTCCATCTATCCGCCCACCCATCCATCCACTAACCCACCCACCAATCCATCCATCCATCCATCCATCCATTTATCCATCTATCCATTTTCCTGTTCATCCATCTGCAGTCCATCATTCAGATACCCTATAGACTTCAAAAACTCCAAATGTAAACATTCAGAACTTTCATCTCTAGTTTCATCTCTAGACTTAGCTTTCCCCCATTGCACTGCCCCGTGTCTTGTCTTATTATTAAAAAAGAAAAAGTAGCCGAGTGTAAACCAGAAGACAGTGATGATTGCTTATTGAGCTTTTCTCTCATAAATGACATTTCGTCCTCGAGTTAAATGAAGTTCAGCCATTTGCTCTCTCTCCTCCACTGCTCTTTCCAATGCGTTTCTACACAAAAACAGATTCTGTGTGCGCAATCTTTTTGCATTCTGCTGTGCAATTGTTCCATGCTTTCAATTTTCAATATCCTCACTTATATTTCCACACATCTATAGCTGCGTTCCAAATAACACTTAAGCTTTTAAAAATCTGTAGATCTTGCATTTGTCTTTTTCTGAATCAAGCTTTTTTTTTCTCAGTTTAAAGGGCTAGTTCACCAAAAAAATGTATAAATGGCTTAGGTGGTTGAACACAAAAGAAGATATTACATTGGAAACCTGTAACTATTGACTTCCATAGTATTTATTTCCATAGTCTTATGGAAGTCAATGGTTACAGGTTTTCAACTTTTTTCAAAATATCTTCTTTTGTGTTTAACAGAAGAAACTCACACTCACTTGAGGAGGAGTAAACAGTGAGTAAATTTTCATTTTGAGTGAACAAACCCTTTAAACCGGTGCTAAGCAACTTCATCAATTATGCTAAACTGCTCGTCTGAGGTTCAGACTTTGACTTGAATCATTCATTTCAGGCTTTTAATGAAATCGACATGGAGCCTCATCTGGAATGTGCTTACGACCACATCGAGATTTATGACGGCCGGGATAGTAAAGCACAGAGTCTCGGACGCTACTGCGGCACCAAGAAACCTCAACCCATCATATCCACCGGAAACAAGATGTTCATCCGCTTCTTCTCGGATAACTCGGTGCAGAAGAAAGGCTTCGAGGCTTCCCATACTGCAGGTCAGCACACCAGTATAACCTGAATGTACACTACTAATACATACTGGAATAATGTGGCATTTCTTATAATGTGAAAGTATAAATCAATAAGCTATAAATGCAGTGAAATGTCTCATTCATAACAACAGACTGTAGTAAAATCGCTGAACAAGATGCATGAGGAAGTCATTTGAGACAATTAATAAGTTAATAATGACTTTTGATAATATTAATAACTACACTCACCGGCCACTTTATTAGGTACACGTGTCCAACTGCTAGTTAATGCAAATTTGTAATCAGCCAATCACATGGCAGCAACTCAATGCATTTAGGCGTGCAGACATGATCAAGATGATCTGCCGCAGTTCAAACCGAGCATCAGAATGGAGAAGAGAGGTGATTTAAGTGACTTTGAACATGGTTGTTGGTGTCAGACAGGCTGGTCTGAGTATTTCAGAAACTGCTGATCTACTGGGATTTTCACGCACAACCATCTCTAGGGTTTACAGAGAATGGTCTGAGAAAGAGAAAATATCTAATGAGCGGCAGTTCTGTGGGCGCAGATGCCTTGTTGACGCCAGAGGTCAGAGGAGAATGGCCAGACTGGTTCCAGCTGATAGAAAAACAATAGCTCAAATAAGCACTCATTACAACCGAGTACTCACCAAAACTGAACAATAAAAGAATGGAGAAACATTACCTGGTCTCCATTTCTACTGCCACATTTGGATGGTCGGGTCAGAATTTGGAGTCAGCAACATGAAAGCATGGATCCATCCTGCCTTGTATGAATGGTTCAGGCTGGTGGTGGTGGTGTAATGGTGTAGGAGATAATTTCTTGGTACACTTTGGGCTTAATAGTAGACAATGAGTTCACTGTACTCAAATGGCCTCCACAGTCACCAGAGCTCAATCCAATAGAGCACATTTGGGATGTGGTGGAACAGGAGATTCACATCATGGATGTGCAGCCGACAAATCTGCAGCCAACTGCGCGATGCTATCATGTCAATATGGAGCAAAATCTCTGAGGAATATTTCTAGTACCCTTTTGAATCTATGCCACTAAGGGTTAAGGCAGTTCTGAGGGCAAAAGTGGGTCCAACCCAGTGCCAGTAAAGTGTACCTAATAAAGTGGCCGGTGAGTGTATAAACCGCATACTTCTGATTATGTCACTATGCTGATACACAGGCATTTGTAGCTCCGCCCTCGTTTAAAATATGCATCTCATTTGAATTTAAAGCGAGAGTCACCAAAACGACACAATTAGGATCGAAGCCTAAAAGGATCAGTTTCAGAGAGTTGTAAAATGTTATTTGTGTGTATTTTGAGCTGAATCTTCATACACTCCAGGGACATCAGAGACCTATTTTACAGCTTATAAAAATAGACATAATAGGTCCCCTTTAAATCCATTACAATTGCCATTGAAAGTATTCTTTACCCCTGCACATTCTAGCAGCAGCTAGCTGTGGTTTTTATATTTGATGTGCGGTGCAATTCATTGTGAGGCACGATTTACCTCACGCCTTGATTTCCCTGTGTGTTCTGCAGAGTGCGGAGGGCGTCTGAAAGCGGAGGTGAAGACTAAAGACCTCTATTCTCATGCCCAGTTTGGTGATAATAACTACCCCGGGGCATCGGACTGTCAGTGGGTGATCACAGCAGAGAAGGGCTACGGCGTGGAGCTCATCTTCCAGACCTTTGAAATCGAGGAGGAGGCCGACTGTGGCTACGATTACATGGAGCTGTTCGACGGAGCCGACACCAAATCACCCAGACTCGGACGCTACTGCGGATCAGGGGTAAAGCACATGTATACATTCGCTACAGGAAAATCAGCACAAAAACCTCAAGGGACAGGTTTAAATGTGTGTGCCATATTGAGCAAAATTGGAACTTTTGGATATTAGGTGTAAGGGGTGGAGCTATAATCCATTACGCGGATGGGGTGGAGCTATTGAGCGCTAAGGTTGGATTACTTAATTTATTTTCAATTGTTGAACCAAAATTCTCCTATGTAAGTGATTATGTCACCTTCCGAGGGTGAATGCTGTTGTTAATACTGCCAGTAGGTGGCAGCAATTGAGTGAATCGTTCATTCCAATGATTTGGTCAAAAGGGCTGATTGATTAGAAACAAAGCAAGTGGCAAGTTGCGTCCTAAATCACTCACTATACACTAGGGTTATCACGATACTGGATTTCGTTACCAATCAATACTGAATTTTTTTTAATTTCCTGCTAACATTTGAACGTGTTCTTAAACATCGCTGATTTGCCGTTGTGTTCATGTGCTCAGCAGAAATGACTGTGATTGGTTGGTGAAGGTCATCAGTTCACCGACTGCTGTTTACTGAGTGTAACCACAGAGACAGAAACACTGGAGCGTTTTAAAGTCACGTCGATCAGCTGGTCTGTTTATAAGCTGACATATGAGCTATCCGCTGATGAATCGACTGATTTTTGCGGCTTTAAAATGCTCCAGTGTCCTTGTATATGTAGTATCAAACAAACCCTGTAGAAAGCAAACAGACAATATGTGTCTAAAGAGTAACTTACTTAATATGAACTTGTTTGTTGAATTTTTGTATAAAATGTATATCACATTTATAATCATACTTCATATTATTTACTATGATTGTTTTTATTATTATTTATTTTGTTTTATTCATTATTTTGACTCATTAATTTATTTAATTACATAACGTTTACTTGGTATGGAGCCAAATCAGTCTTAAAAATAATACATTTACAATTCACAATTCACATTTACAAAATGTAATATGTTAATTCCAAACGCTATTTGTAAATATGCAAAACTAATTGGTAAATTCAAAACACAATTTATTCATGCCAAATCGAATTCGTTAATTCAATACACAATTCATAATTGCGCAAATCCCATTCGTAAATTTAAAAGACAATTTTTTAATGCAAAATCAAATTCGTAGATTTAAAACACAATTCATAAATGCGCAAATCCAATTCATAAATTCAAAACACAATTCATAAATACGCAAATCCAATTCGTAAATTCAAAACGCAATTTATAAATGAGCAAATCCAATTCGTAAATTCAAAACACAATTCATAAATGCGCAAATCCAATTCATAAATTCAAAAATCAATTCATAAATGAGCAAATCCAATTCATAAATTCAAAACACAACTCATAAATGCGCAAATCCAATTCATAAATTCAAAACACGATTCATAAATGCGCAAATCCAATTCGTAAATTCAAAACGCAATTCATAAATGAACAAATCCAATTCGTAAATTCAAAACGCTATTCATAAATGAGCAAATCCAATTCATAAATTCAAAACAATTCATAAATGCGCAAATCCAATTCGTAAATTCAAAACACAAATCATAAAAACGCAAATCGAATTCTCAAATGCGAAACACAATTCATAATGCGCAGATCCCATTCGTAAATTCAAAACAGAATTCATAATGCGCAAATCCAATTTGTTAATTCAAAGCGCAAATCATAAATACGCAAATCCAATTCGTAATTCAAAACACAATTCATAATGGACAAATCCAATTCGTAAATTCAAAACGCAATTCATAAATATGCAAATAGAATTCGTAAATTCAAAACATCATTTAAAATGCGCAAATCCAATTCGTAAATTCAAAACACAATTCATTGCAGCTGTTTCCGCCCCTAACTTTACTTGAGTAAAAGTACACATATTTAAATGTACTCAAAAAGCACTCGTTACCCAATCATTTTACTCAAGTAAATGTAACTCGATACTACCCACCTCTGGTAAACGGGGCCTATGACTTTTGCCCAGTATTGTGTATCAGCTGTTATTGTGATACTGCCGATGGCCTTCTTATCGACTGAGAGATTAGTTTGACTTAAATGGAGAGGACAGTGCACATTTGTCTCTATCGAGTTTTGGTAACTTGCCATTTAATGCACACTTTGAATCCGACGCAACTGATAATTTACTAACAGCAGGAGAAAGTGTCCCCCGAGCGACATGAGCTTAAGTGTGCTGCCGCATTAGGCCGTCACAGCCCAAAATAACCCATTAGGCTTGAACGGAGAAGAAACACACTCTCAAGCTCTTAACATCTTCCAGACTGTTTGCCGCACAATGCCAAATACTCTGAAATTGTATCCAATCCTTTGAGAGACTGCATTTAATTGTGCTTCTCTATATGCCTATTTTATTTAGTTCGTCCAAATGATGAAAACAGTGTCCAAATCCGATTTTTTTTTTTTTTTTTTTTTTTTTTTTTTTTTTTTAGTATGTAAGAAGATGGTGATAAAACAAAATACTGTTAACTATCAACAACAACAGATGACCATGTCCAAAAGCGTTTGGGTTAAAGGGATAGTTCACGCAAAAATGACAAAATGTTTTTTACTCAAGCTTTACTTGAGTCAAACCTTGAGAACACAATAGAAGATATTTCGAAACATGCTAAAACCCTGTAACCATTGACTTCTATTGTATTGGATTTTCCTACTGTGGAAGTCAATGGTTACAGGTTTTCAGCATGTTTCAAAATATCTTCTTTTGTGTTCTCATAAAGAAACTCATATAGGTTTATATCAAGTAAAGCTCAAGTAAATGACAGACTTCCTTTTTGGGTGAACTATCCCTTTAACGCAAACACTTTTCGACATGGTCATCTGTTGTTGTTGAAGTTACGAGTACTTTGTTTTATCTCCAGCTTCTTACGTACTGAAAAATGGATTTGGACACTGTTTAACTAAATAAAATGGGTATTGGATCTCAAAGTCTGTCATTTACTCGAGCTTTACTTGATTAAAGCTTTTATGAGAACACAAAAGAAATTATTTTGAAACATGCTGAAAACTGGTAACCATTGACTTCCATTGTATTTGTTTTAAGTCAAGTGGATGTCGATGGTTGTCAGCTTTCTTTTTTGTGTTCAACAAACTTGGAACCACTCGAGTAAGAGTAAATATAGTGAGTAAATGTTAATTTGTGGGTATACTGTCCTTTTAAAAGAATACATTTATGCTACTATAAATATAAAAACTTTTTTTTTTGTTAGAACTAGGAGTAGCAGAGTCTATATAAACTTTGTAGCACACAAGTGTCTAAACGTTTGCATTATTTCACAGTTGCTATAACTATTATAGATGGGAATTGAGTAGTTTGCGCTTTAAAACGTGCCACATATTCTCTATAGGAGACGGATCGGGACTGCAGGCAGGCCAGTCAATTACCTGTATCCTCGTCCTCCGCAGCCAGAATGTGGTTTTGCGTTCACTTGTTGAATTTAGAAATCACTTATTTCTGAGTTTATTTGTGTTTTCAATTATCTCCCAACTTTTTCTGATTTGGGGTTGTATATTAGGAAATATTTTTTTAAACAAACAAAAATATTGCCTTGTTATTAGAAATAATAACCCAAAATTTAGTGAGTTTTGCCTTAAATCAAGGTAAATAATCTGCCAATGGTGTAAGCAAAATAATATTGTTTTTAATTTTGATGTGAGATGATTTTGCTTACCCCATTGGCAGATTATTTTACATGTTTTAAGCAAAAAACTCACTTAATTTTGGCTTATTATTTCTATAAACAAGACAATTTGTTTAGCTTGTCTGGAAAGTCTTCCTTGATTTTAGAATTTTTAGATAATTAGACTAGAATATTTACATATGTAAAATATATTAAATATTAAATCATATTAAATAATATTAAATAATAAATATTTACAGTGTAGGAACTAAGCCTGGTGGCTTGTACCTATGGTTGAGGTCCTAAAACCTACTAATTCAATAGCCCTGAATAAACTGAAGCTGCATATAAATGTCCGATTTGGCAGAAAATGTTCAGTCAATTGCAATGGATTTTGTGATCAGCCTAAACCACAAATCCAATAAAGAAGCAGCATTTTTGTTCAGCCTTCGTTGTTGGGAGCACACTTATTATTTATATCAACTTAAAATATTGACTTTGGATGCTAGCTCACTATAACTGACGCAAAAGACAACAATCAAGGCTGGAATACGCCACACGACACATTTATTTTCATAATGGACGGGACGAGGCTTTTGTATTGCAATGCTGAATGATAAAATACTGTAACCTTACAAATTTAAAGGGATAGTTCACCCTAAAATGTACTCACTAAATACCCACCCTCAAGTCGTTACAAACCGTTAAATGTTTATAATACACAAAAGAAAATATGAAGAGTTTAGATGCAAAAACCCTTAGTACCGTCTGACATTATTAGCTAAGATAAGCATTTTCCTCAGGAATGTAATTTTCATTGTCTTTAGAGTAAAATAGCTGAACGTAAACATAGGAGGTTAAGAAAAATGCAAGGTTTAGAGGACATTTTTAGACGGCATTTACAAGTTTTTGCATCTGAACTATTCATAAACAGTTGAGGTCTGAATTATCAGCCACCCCCCCCCCCCCCCTGTTTATTTTTCCCCCAGTTTTTGTTTAACAGAAAGAAGATTTTTTTTCAACACATTTCTAAACATAATAGTTTTAATAACTGGTTCAAGTGTGTTTAATATGCATAGCAACTGAAATCTGCAGGAAGGTGGCTCTCTAGGAACAGGGTTGGCCACCCCTGCTGTAGGCTATCGAAAAATGTATAGCTTAGGGGGCTAATAATTTTGACAATTGAAAAAAAAATGTAAAAACTGCTTTTATTCTAGCCGAAATAAAACAAATAAGACTTTCCCCAGAGGAAAAAATATTATCATACATACTGTGAAAATGTCCTTGCTCTGTTTAACGTCATTTGGGAAATATTTAAAAACTAAATAAAATTCAAAGGGGGGCTAATAATTCTGACTTTAACTGTATAAATATATTTTTATTGAATGTTTTTTTTGTGTGCAAAAACAATAATATAATATCCGTCATTCATATAATTTGAAACCTGACCCAACATGAAAAATTATTTAAAAAAATAAGTTAATTAATTAAATAAAATACAAAAAAATGGACACAAAATACTAAATTATTTTACAAAAAATGTAATTTTTTATGTCCAGGCTGAGTCTAACTGGCAAAAAGAACATATTTTGAAGAAGGCGAAAACCTGTAACCACTGACTTCCACAGTAGGATAAATGAATACTATGGAAGTCAATGGTTGCAGATTCAAAGCTGTCACTTGACTCTCTTAACCGATGTTCAGTTATGCGAAACATGAACCAAATTATCAAATATAACAACGGAGCAATCAAATAATTAAGCTATAAAATGCTTTTAAAAACAGTGTTAAATTAATGTAAGAAAAATATGTTGTTTATGAATCCCAGATTTGATGTTGAACTTATTCAACCCAAAGCGGGAAATTCAACCAAGACAGGTTCTAATGAAGCACTTAAATGAGTTTGTCAGAGCCAGTTTTTTTATAGCCAGACTTTTGTCCCAAGTTCTGGCTCTTGTTTGTGCCTCTTGGTTCACTCAGGGCACTGAATTTCAAAGAAAAGTCCATCATCTGTATGGTATTAAAAGTGATGAGCTGATCCATTTGAGAGTGTCCTTGGCTGTGTTTTGGATCATTGTCTTGCTGAAATGTCCACCCTGGTTTCATCGTCATCCTCCTGCTAATGTAGATGTTGGACTGAAGCAGTATAGTATTCATTTACACTAAAGAAGGGCAGAGGAAAGAAGTACTGAGAGATTTCAGCTGCTGTCTGGGCCTTCACTGCCTTTCTACACCTCCCTTTCTTCATGTATTCAATACGTTTTCACTGCGTCATTTAGTTTTATTACACGTAACTTAATTTGTAAGATATTTAGTTTTGTTTTCTTTGCAGAAATGGATTTCTTTGGTTGTTACCAACATCCGCTGAAAGTTAACAAATACTTTAAAAACATTGCTAAAGTAATGTAAGAAAAATATGTTGTTTATAAGTCCCAGAATTGATGTTGGACTTATGGGGACTTATTCATCACTTCACTTAAATGAGGCCCCGTTTACACTAGTGCGTTTTTGTTTTAAAACGCATAAGTTTTGCTACGGTTACGCCATCCGTCCACACAACGCCGGAGTTCTCGAGCGCCGAAAACGGAGGGTTTTGAAAACACTGAAGAGGCCGTTTTCATTCTGAAACGCTTCTGCTCCGTCTTAGTGTGGATGAGGAAAAACGAAGACATCTGAAAACGGAGGCGGGACTGCTGAGATTCACTACCTGATTGGGGCTATTGTGTCATGGCCTTAGTCACTGTATCCTTCCCTTATTCGTCAAGCCTCTATCACATGACTATAACACATGGCTTTAACGCTACCGAAAGACAGTACTGTAAACAACAACATGGGCACAGAAATGGGAGCGTTGTTTGCACTATTGTTTGTTTTAGGCGGCATTGTGTTATTCATTTGTTACGTTTAGTACAACTCGACCTCGTCGTCTGTCCACAAAAATACCTCTCTTGCTTTCTTTGCCATTGCGTTTAATGTTCAACCGGCGTTTGTTGACTAACAATAACCAAATGCCGAGCATGGTGCATGCTTTCTGTTTATACTAGAACGCGCATGCCAAGAGTGCGCGAATGGTCACGTGATATACGTTTTTGGTGGCGTAGTGTGGACGGAGATATGTTCAAAGACGCTAGGTAACACTAGTGTGGACGCGGATCGTTTTTGATCTAAAACGCCGTTTTAAAACTAAAACGCACTAGTGTAAACAGGGCCTGAGTTTGTCTGAGCCAGTTTATCATATCCAGACTTTTGTCCCAAGTTCTGGCTCTTGTTTGTGCCTCTTGGTTCACTCAGGGCACTGAATTTCAAAGAAAAGTCCATCATCTGTATGGTATTAAAAGAGATGAGCTGATCCATTTGAGAGTTTCCTGGGCTGTGGTTTGGATCATTGTCTTGCTGAAATGTCCACGCTGGTTTCATCGTCATCCTCCTGCTAATGTAGATGTTGCTAACAGTCATTTACTCTGAGGAAGGGAAAAGGGTTGCTGAAGAACTACTGAGAGATTTCAGCTGCTGTCTGGGCCTTCACTACCTTTCTGCACCTTCCTTTCTTCATGTGTTCAATACTTTTAAATTGCCTCATTTCAACTTTACTTGTAGTTTTGTTCTCTTTGCATGTATGGATTTCTTTGGTTGTTACCAACATCAAGTTTACCAATTTCAAGTCAACATCACCTTTAGAAATATGTTTTCTGAGAAAAATGCAGACATGTTCAATACTTATTTTGCTTACATCCTTCTCTGTGCATCCATGCAGCCTCCAGAAGAGATCTACTCAGCCGGCGACTCCATCGTCATCAAATTCCACTCTGACGACACCATCAACAAGAAGGGCTTCCACGTGCGCTACACCAGCACCAAGTTTCAGGACACACTCCACTCCCGTAAGAAGTGACCCCTAGTGGCCGGGAGGGGCCGTGCAGGGCCTAGGGGGAAGCGAAAGGGCCCCAGGGGGAGGTCCTCGCCCATCGCTCGGAGCCCCCCGGCCGCCAGGAACACCCAGACTCGACGGACCAGCCGCAAGAACTCCAACCGCACCTCAGTAGTTCACAGGGGCTCTGGCATCCCCTACTGACTGTGAGGAGTAAAGCCATTTCGCAGTAGACCTTGTTTTTACCTTCTTTTTTTAAACGATTACATTCGTGGGCAAGATGTGGATTAGGGGAGGGGGGGTGGAAAGTATTCAGTCGCTGGATACCAACATAGGGGCGAAATCAAAAGGGAGGGTGGGAAGGGTGGGCATAGCTGATCTGGTTACTAGAATCCCACTTGTCGCCTTTTCATGAGCCGAGAGTGCATACACGAAGGAACTCCCGCAGGAGAACCAACCGGTCAACCAAACTCAAATAGTAGGAAGGGAGAAAGGGGCATTCGGGACGCAAGTTTCCAACGTTGAATGGAGAGATTCACTGCAGCGCTGTGGGGAAACAACCGTCTCTTCTTGACTCTTCATTGCCTTGTTCATGATGGCCACCGTGGGCCAGTTCCTGTGTCGTCACTTGAGCAAATGACACTGTATGTCAAAGAGATGCATGTGGTACAGCTTGAAGGAAATGTGGACGTGATGGTGGCACCAGCATTTGTAATGATAACCCGCTATTTCCCTGGCCAGTAGTCCAGAAGGTTCCCTGCCCCCCCCCAACGAAATGATCAATCTCTAGGAGGTTTTCCAGAAACAGTTATCATATTAAAAGACTTATAAACAAAGTGTGGCCCATGTCTGATGGATGTTAATTGCTTCTGCTTTAAAAAAAAACAAAAACAGAATGATATGTTGTCTATACTTCTTTTTTTAAGGTCCTGATTATGTGCTGCCTTCCTCGTCACAAATCAGGCAGGATAGGCGTTCTTTTGTCCTGAATTCCCAATGCTGTTTTCTTTTAATCCCAGCTTTTTTTTAGCATCTTTTATCGCACAATTTCTAGTTGTTTTGCAAAACAGTATGAAACCGGGCCTCAGTCAGGGTAGACTCCTAAAAAAGTAGAATTACCTGTAGACCTATTCAAGAGTTCACACTTAGCTGATAATCAATAAATCGTATTTGGCATGCTGTCCCGGGAGAGAGCCCTGAGCTCGTAATATCCTCGAGCCCGGGGCTCCCTCCCGTTAGAAGGGCGAGAGGGGAATTCGAGGTCAGGTAGGTCTTGAGAACTCCCCTGCTTGTCAACGTGAGAAGTTTAAACTAAGGTTGTATTGGGTGATAATTTGTTTTAGTCGATTGGCTGTGGTTTATGTTTTTGGACGGTGGGAGGAAACCGGGGAACCCGGGGAAAACCCATGCGAACACGGGGAGAACATGTAAACTCCACACAGAAACACCAGACCGCCCGATGGGGTTGGACCGGCGGTGTTCTTGCTGTGAGGCAACAGTGCTAGCCACTGGACCACCGTGTCGCCCGATCAGAAAAAGGGGGAGGATGTAGGGGTAGAAAGGGGTGGAGCTTCAAGACGAAGATAACTGGAGTGAAAAACTCAGGCTATTTATAATGCTTCCCTAATCATCTAATAGGGCTGATTACGGAGCTAACAAGGAGCCAGCCGTGTTGATTATAAGCACGTGATCCTCTCGAAATTAGTTTATGAATAAACCACACAAAGAGTTGCTTTGACCATGAAATGAAGATTCAGTCATGGTTTACCTCCCCCTCGTGTCATTCCAGACCTGCATGACTTACTTATCTTCGCAAATCACAAAAGAAGCTATGTTGCCCTTGTAGTCAAAGTCAAGAGGGGTCCGAAACGACATAATGATCGACCCTGGTGACTTTCATTGTGTGGGCAAAACAAATCTCTGGAAGTATTTTTCAGAGAGGGAATGAAGGAAAGAAAGACGTGATTTTTTTTTTAGGTGAACTACCAGATTTAGTAACACTTTTTATATTAGAATTTATTCGAATAGAGTTTATTTACTGAACTATAGGCCCTATAGTGGCAGTAAAAATAATTATCACTTGAAGGGGGTGCCATGACATGATGAATATGATTGAGATTTTAAGCATTTTTATAACAACTGTCTCATTCGCTTAGTTTTGTCATTTTAGATGTCTTTGTCATGACAACTTTAACCAAGACCTGTCATAAATCTGTCATAAACATAATCGTCATGAAGCGATTATAAGTGTGTCATGACTATTTTTCTGATCACTTTTTTTTTCCAGTGGAACTGAATGGACATCATTAAAATGTCTTATTAAACGTGTCAACACTTTGACCAAACATATGTGCCATTAACAATAATGACATTTTAATGACATTAAATTATTAACACTGTAGTTGAGGTCAAGAAAACATTAATAGCTTAATGCTGCGTTCACACCAGACACAGATGAAGCGTCAAGCGCGAGGGATTCACATGTTAGGTCATTGCAAATACACGAATAGACTTTCTATGGTGCATGATGCGAATGACGCATGAATGACGCGATTCGTGCAAATGAGATTTGCGTTTTGAAAAAGTTGTTGAAAATCTTGAAAGTCAAAAAAAGCGTAACTTTAACAGACGTTCACGCCGCATTACCCAATCACGGGCTTGCTCTTGTAGGGAAGTGATTATGATGTAGCGCCTGTTGTTGGTATCCCGAGGGGAAAATCCTTCTGCCGATACTGGACAACAGCTCAGTGTGAAGCATCATGCAGGTCCTGTTTATGGAGGAGTGGATGAACTCAGAGCTGGGTGCACCTCTGAAATCAGGATCTAGTGGACTCAGACGGCGAACGAATCTATGATGTTTTTCAGCCTTCCTAAAGCACATAAAGCCTCTACTATCTCAGTAAAATCCATGTTAGCCATTTAGCATTGAAGCTAGAGTCATCAAGCAAACAGAAGCCCCGCGTCTATTGTGAAGAGAATTTGACGCATGAATGAAGCGAGTAAACTCAAAATGTTCAAGCGTCTATTTATGTGCTAATAGCGTGATCTATTTGCGCGTGCCATGTCTGGTGTGAACTCGGCATTATAATAGCAATCATAATGGTTTCATGACAGTCATGTTTATGACAGATTTATGACATGCATTTTAACATGAAGACATCTCAAACAATGTCATCTTGCATTTCAAATGACATAACCGAGTGAATGATACAACGGCTTCTCGTTCATATTCATGACGTGTGTCATGTCATGATTATAAAGGGTTCATGACAGTCTTATCAACACCCCCTTCAAGTTACCAAAAAACCCAGCCTGATCTCACGAGGTACCTATTTTATGTTTGTTCAGTTTATTGGCTAATTCGTATGAATTCGTACAGAGTTCAGACATAAAAAAATATACGAATTTTAAAAGGAGGTGTGGCACCCAACCCCGCCTCAAAACCCAACCATCATTCGGGCATAAGCAAAACATACTAAAATTGTTTGAATGAGATTGTACGAATAAAAACGAATTAGCCACTAAATCAAAAAGTTACGAATTGCTGTACGATATCGCTGAAAAACCCGTATAAACGTTAGAATCAAAAAGCATCAATCATTTATGCGACAAAAAATTTAACCTTCCCATCAGAATTACTCTGGAGGATTATGAGGTAAACAATTAAGTACTTTTGCTAACCTCATGTCATTCGCAATTGCGAATAGTTCCGTTCATATAATGGAATCGTGCTAATAGCATGATCTTGCCGTGTCTGGTGTGAACTCGGCATTATAATAGCAATCATAATGGTTTCATGACAGTCATGTTTATGACAGATTTATGACATGCATTTTAACATGAAGACATTTCAAACAATGTCATATTGCATTTCAAATGACATAACCGAGTGAATGATACAACGGCTTCTCGTTCATATTCATGCTGTGTGTCATGTCATGATTATAAAGGGTTCATGACAGTCTTATCAACACCCCCTTCAAGTAAAGTTACCAAAAAACCCAGCCTGATCTCACGAGGTACCTATTTTATGTTTGTTCAGTTTATTGGCTAATTCGTATGAATTCGTACGAGTTCAGACATACAAAAATGTACGAATTTTAAAAGGAGGTGTGGCACCCAACCCCGCCCCAAAACCCAACCATCATTCGGGCATAAGCAAAACATACTAAAATTGTTTGAATGAGATTGTACGAATAAAAACGAATTAGCCACTAAATCAAAAAGTTACGAATTGCTGTACGATATCGCTGAAAAACCCGTATAAACGTTATAATCAAAAAGCATCAATCATTTATGCGACAAAAAATGTAAGCTTCCCATCAGAATTACTCTTTAGGATTATGAGGTAAACAATTAAGTACTTTTGCTAACCTCATGTCATTCGCAATTGCGAATAGTTCCGTTCATATAATGGAATTTGCTTTGGTCAAAAACATCACTTTGGTCCCTGTCGATTCATAGTATGTCCAAACACCAACCTTTCGTTTTACATCGAAGTAAGAATGGATGGAATGATACCATGGTGAGTACACAACTTTTCGATAAGCGAAGCCGTCAACTTATCGCATTAAATATGGCGCCAACTCTGACTGAGGTCCATTTTTACACCACCTGCTATGATATAGAGTTAACTCTAGAAGGGATTGTATTTTTTAACCAGTCTCCAGAAGCCCCATTGCTAGATAGATGTTGTTTTAACACAGTTGGCGAGGGGAAAAAAGCGCCAGTACTGTACCTCAGCATGTGGTAGAGTGGTGGGATGGTGCTATTTCAACTGCGCCCAGAGGAACTGCTCTGTCTCCATTGAAGTCCAGTTTTAGCAGGGAGAAAAACAGTGTTAGATGTGGGATAGTACCGAGTTTTGAGCTCTCCAGGGCCGATTATTAGATCTGAAGTGTTTCCAGGATCATCTTCATGAAGTTGGCATCTCTTCTAGACTTTTTAGTCCTCCTGCGTTTCATTGGTTGATATCATTTCACACCCGTTTGCCTTCGTGGGTTTACCTAAAAGCTCTTACAAATCTCAGGTTCAGCATATCTGATTGTCATGTACTCCCCAGCGAATCCTTTTAAGACGGCAGATTTGAAGATTTGGGATGCTGTTTTGACTTGGTCGGGGTTTGATTTGCTGTGATGCCTTCTTCCGTCTTTCAATCGGTTGACCTCAAGCCTCGAGTGCTGTGACCAAACGACTTGCTCAATGTACGGCCAGCAGTTTGCGCTAACTTGTATATCCTAGTTCTTCGCATCAATTCTTTGTGTGTTTGTGTGTCCGCCTATATTCAGTTTAGTATATCTGAACATTTATTTGTACATTTCGCTAATCGAATCGCATCCCATTGATGATTTTAATGCCTTGCTTGTTTCTTCCTGTTTGAAAAATGGTGTTTTGTGGGCAAAACAACAACACAGAAGAGAAGTTACCTCAGCATAATAGTGGATGCTTGATCTATTCACCCTGACCGGCCTTCCCACACAAGACTTTGGTATACATGTTTATGCATTTTATCATATGTATGTATGTAAATATGTATTCATCTAAACCATAGACAACTTGACAAGAGCTAATGTGTAACTGCAGGCAAAAAAAGATGCAATTTATTTATATTGTATAGTTAATTTTC